ATATATATATATATATATATATATATAAAAGAGGTAGACATATGTATAAAAAAAAAAAATATGTCCATTTCAGTTTGCAATTTTTGTTTAAATGAGATTATCATATTCGATTTAGCATTTTTTCCCTCAATTTTTCTAAGGAATCCATTGTTATGTTTGCAACGAACAACAATAAGAGATTCCTTAGTCGTTACCTACCTAGCGTACTGTTACCGTACACATTGCATTTGCATCGATTAGTGTTAGATCATCTTAATTTATCGTTGTTTTGCTCCATTGTTTCCCTTGCTGTTTCTTGATAAATCTCCCCGAGGATTTATTAGATCGTTATGCCTCGTGGCTAGTCGAAACCTGGCAATTAATGAGCAATTAATTATGCCGTCCGGTTTTCTTATACATGTACCATTAAAACGAACGTTAAATGATATATCTAGCGAGATCGTGTTCCATCAATAATAATTATTTGATCCGTATCATTAAATTCTTTATCTTATTTGTCAAGCATGCCATCATGCATCTCTCTGTGCTCACTAAACTATATTTCAAGCGTAATGTCTTTTTTTATCCTCGTCGATGGCACGCTTAAGTAGCTCACCTCACTCGTTAAATAACATCTATCACTCAATGTCATTCACCCTTTCTTATTTATATGCTCAACGGCAGGTCTACGCTCAAATGATTTCGCATTTAGCATAGTTAGTAGCCACGTTAGTAGGTACACGAAACCGTATTGTGTGTGTAAGCACATTTTGCGAGCACTCTGGCACATTTATTATCATTCCTCGTATTATTTATTGTCGAAAGTCGCTATCGACAGGGAAAGTGCTCGAGCTTTGAAAAAACGATCGCCATCGAGGTTCGCCGGCTTACAATCCGTCTCCTTCTCTTTCGTCTTACTTTTTTTTACTCCTTTAACAAGAAGACGGTGGATTCGAAAGTTTTTTCAAAGCGATGCCGATTAATTCAAGACGTTCTGACAAACAGCAGAACAATTTCCACAAATTGCTCTGCTGCAAAAGAGTAACCAGGGAAAAAGCGTTCGTGCTCTTCGTTCGTTTTCACGCGTAACGTTAGATCTGAGACGCATTAGCTAGTAATTATTTAAAAAGACTACTCATAGGAATTTTAATGTTTAAGGCTAAGAATATTTATTTGTTAAGCGGAATAGGTCGTTTAGAAGACCCTAATTAATAACGATTAGACTCATCATGGGAAACCGTTAACAAATCAGTTGGCTGATCCGTGGTTTAACGTGTTGCTAAACAAGAAGTCAACGTACCGATGACATTACGAAGACTACATAATAAAAATTTTTTTTTTTTTTATTATACGATACGCACTTCCTACATACTCATTATATTAAATTACATGCTAAAATTAACTCTAAGTAGACAATTCTTACTTTTAAGCGTCCCGTTTGAGATGTTCACCTTCGTTTCGGATAATGTGACATTATCGTTACCGTCGCTCGATCGGCCATCACTACAAAAAAAATAATAATAATTAATTACGTCTGAATCACTGTGAAGGCAGGAAAATAATATCGATATTACTATATCTTTAAAGAGGGAATTCTAATTGCGATATTGTCATTCAAAGAATCCCAAGGAGCTCAATACAAATCGCGTGCAATAATCAAACGTAAAACGCTTTCGTTCGAAGCTAACTAATATCTTTGTGTGCCATTGAGTTACTGTTAAGTTCAAGAGTATACAAAAAATCTACACTGGGATGTGATCGGTGGATCGTCGTATGTTTCCATGCACGTTGTCCCTTGAATATCAGTTTCTCCGGCATTGTAAACCATTTCTTTAAATAAATGATAATACGAAAACATTCATTTCGGTCTTTCTCATTTCCATTGCCTTTTATACTAACATATGTACACCAGACATCCATAAATGTAGGTATCATCGAATTGTGGTGTTTTTGAAATTCGAAATTGATTGGTATTTTTGAAAATATAATCATTGATGATATATACAGCATTAATGTAATCAAGTACCATGTCCCTTGCTATATGTGAACACACGTTACACACTCGATATTTTCGATACACACATTTTTCATATTCTGTATCCTAACAAAAAAAATCTATCACATGAAATTTGCTTGTGCACGGTGCGAACACTTAATGCACACGCATTGGCATATATTCGATTCTTCGAGGATTATGCACTACGGAAGAAGAGACATCAACGCTTTCGGTGATTGGACTAGAAATGAATGAATAAAACAGAGCAGTGATTACAGAAATGATTAATGATTTTAGAGCCAGTAACTGTGGCATTGTGGGCTGTGCCCCATCAAATGGTCACTCTTTCGTGCAAAGTAGAAACTGCGCTATCAAAAGTGCAATGCCACTGGATTCATGCGCCGAAAATCCATATTTATCAGAATATGAGTGGAACGAAAAGGTAACTTTTAATATATAAGATTCATGAATCTTTTCTCCTTTTTTTTCATTGATTTTTAGGTACAACATACAAATGGATTATCATACAGGCATATGTACTTTGAAATTCAAACCTGATCATTCAGATTTGGGGAATTGGGTGTGCAAATTTACTGTTCCAGACACTGATGAAGAAATAGGAAGTGCAACACTTGTTCTGTTGAATAGTCTTGGCGGTGCGTATTACTAATTTTCCTTGTGTTGTTAAATTAAAGATGGAAGTTATCTATAAATATAATTTTATTTTTAACTCAATGTTATAGATGAAAAATTAGGATGGATCGTAGGTGCTTTAACGACCTTGATTTTATTTCTAATGATTATTATAGTTGTTATAGTAGTTTGTAAAACACGTTTATTTGTAAGAAAGTCGTCACGAGTTTTAGAAACTATTCCTTCATCAGAGAAGAAACAAAATTTGCAAGCAAATAATGAACAGTATACTGAAAATCCATCGAAAGCAGATATACAAGTTTCTGAGCCAGACCAAAATGCAACAAATATCGATAGTGTACTTCCTAATAGAAGTCCACAATTTTACGAGCGTGTTGGAAAATACAGATCATCAAAAGTATACGAAAATCTTCGAATATGAAAGAAACTTGGTCTTTTTAAATATAAGTATATTATGCATAAGTATATTTTTAAATATAAGTATATTATGCAATTAAGATTTTTAAAACTTTTAAAACGAATATACTAATAAATAAAAAACAAAAAGAAACATAAAAAATTAAAAAATATATATCATATAATATAAAAAAAATTTTTTTACCAAAATTGTTCATATTATTTGAAAGCATCTAATTGTGATTGTATCTTTTCTAAATTATGATATAGATCTATGAGTTCTTTCTTATCAAACTCCACTGTTAATTTAGATTCTTCTTCCCCTGTCAAATTTAACTGCAATAATGATATTGGTCGCACGTCTTTTCTAATAGAAGAAGATGCAGCTTGAATATTTAAACACCAATCAATGTCTTTAACCTAAAACAGAATAAATTAATACAAAATATATGTTATTATTTCTTATCACCATATTGCAACATACCTGAACAGGAAATATAGATATTTGTCTAAAATGATCAATTATTCCTTTACCATATGTAATCCATGCATTTAAAAATATTTGAACTTTCTCATCATTTATCTTAAAAGTGTCTTTCAAAGTACTTTCCATTAACTGTGGCTTTATAATGTTGCAAGTAGCTTGCTTATAAATTAATATTATTGCATCTAAAAGACAAGCTAGATCATCCTTATTCACATCCAAGGACACTAATAGTTTCTCCTCTTCTTCCTCGCTAAATATTTTTGTATTAACATTCAACTGAAGTGTCTGACAAATGCGATTTATTAATAAACGGAATTTACTGTTATCTACTTGATTTGCTATTTTCAAACCTCGTTCAAGTCTGAAACAAATGAAATATTAAATTACTGCACTACAAAATTCATCTAAATTCATCACAAATTCTATTGATTAAAAAAAAATAATAATATTAATCGCAATGAATCAATTCAGTCAAAATGTATAATTTAAATATTACCGCGGTGTCACCGTAATCCACGAAGCCATGTTATTTAACACATTTATAGGTTATACAACTAATTTGAGTATGAAAGATTGAAAAAAATCAATCAACATGATTTAATATCACATCCTTAACATTAATTCAATTAAGCAGCACTAAAATGTTCAAAAATATCAGTTAGTTGAGTGTAGCATTTTTATATCACGAATTATGTATATATTTAGCTGAATATATCAATATTTGACTCTGCACTTGACAATTTTAACATTGATTAAAATTTGTTTTACACTTATAAATTACACAATTTACACAAACCCATATTATAGTCAAAAAAAAAAAAAACAATTTCTACATAGATCTGTTTTCTTTTAAAAAAGATAGTATATAGTCTATCAAAAATTGATCATGCACAGATTAATTCACGTGCGCACACCGTGATCATTATATGTACTGAAGTAGATAAGAATTGTACGATTGCAAAAAAGATATCACAGCATTAATTTTAAGTTTTCCAGAATTGTTAATGATGTCCTTAGATGATACTAAATACGATAAGGTATTATTTAATATATTTATCCTTTAATATTACGAATAAATATTATAACTTTATTATGTGTAAGTTTAATACCTTTTTTTTATTTTGTAGGAACATCCACGAATTTTGATTCCTGAACTATGTAAACAATTTTACGATCTAGGATGGGTAACCGGTACTGGTGGAGGAATATCTATCAAACTGGGGTAAATATTTTTTTATTATATTCGATATTAAAATTGTACATTGTATTAAAATTATAACCATTTAATATTTAATATTTACAGAGACAAAATATATATTGCCCCATCCGGTGTTCAAAAAGAACGTATCTGTTCAGATGAAATGTTTGTACAAGATATCAGTGGAAATGATTTAGAATTACCACCAAAAGAAAAAAAATTAAAGAAGTCTCAATGCACTCCATTATTTATGTGTGCATATACAAGGAGAAATGCTGGAGCTGTAATTCACACTCATTCGAAATTTGCTGTAATGGTGACATTACACTGGCCTGGAAAAGAATTTCGTGTTACTCATCTTGAAATGATAAAAGGTACAATTATATACAAAATATGAATCTAATTTTTTATTTATTTATGAAAGTATATCAATATTATTATGTAATGTAGGAATAAGGAATCAAAAATTGGGAAAGGCATATCGTTATGATGAAGAATTAATAGTGCCAATAATAGAAAATACTCCATTTGAAGAAGATTTAAAAGATGAATTAGATAAAACTATTCTTGCCTATCCCGAAACTTGTGCTGTTTTAGTAAGAAGACATGGTGTATATGTTTGGGGAGATACATGGCAGCAAGCAAAAACTATGTATATATTAATACTAACATGTCTTTTTTATTTTTACTTTATTTTTACTCGTTTAAATATTTTTTGTTTAGGACGGAATGTTATGATTATCTATTTGACATAGCTCTCCAAATGAAACTAAGTGGATTAGATCCGGCTGCAATTCCAAAAAAATTATGAAGAGTTTTAAATTAATAACAATACCTTCACTTATTATTTTTAAAAGATAAATTACCTTTTCTATATATTTTACAAAAAAATCATAATGTATATATGTTACAATATTAATCTTTATACATCTTTAAGTATCTAAATCAAATGGTTGGAAGTCTCTTCTAATTCGTTTTGCTAATTCAGTTTCTTCCTCTTGATCCAATTGACAATCTTTCCAATCAGCTCGATCATCAAGATCTAATATTCTATCTGAAGCTAATACTTCCCTGCCAAACTGTAGTGGAAAATCTTTTTTTATTCTATAATATAGTTTTTCTGTACTTGGCAATTCTGCATAAAAATATAGAACACCTGGTTTTGCAATTTGCTGCAAATCTGTGTGTGAAGGTAATTCTGTTATATTAAAATTATTACATTCTGCCATTTCCTAGAATAAAAATATTATTAAAATATATGTTAACATATTCTTAAAATAACTATTAACAGAAATACTTACTTCAAATGTTTCTTTCAAAGCTGATGCTTGATTTTTATGAACAGGCACAACTTGCAACTGGCAATGAGATGTTTTGAAATTACGTTCAAAAAATACAGGTACTTTATCCATAGTGGCATAGTATTTGGTTATTGCATTCTTATACTGTTCAATTTCATCCTTTACTTCTTTTGGTAGAATAGAGAGACTCTGATGGTGGGTTATCGGTAGAATTAGAAAATGATTCTCAACTAGTCCACCTCTAGCAAGTGCAACATATACTTCTGTTCCAACAGATATTACTAAATGCTTAGAGACTTCAGGACTGGATAAACAAAACCAACACTTAGCTTGATCGAATTCGCGTTTTGGTTTTTTGTTAGGACCTCCAGAAGATTTTGATCTTTTAGTAGACTCTTGAGATTCCATATCATAAAAAAACTGTGTATGCTTTGGTTGTTCTAATTTTTTTAGTGACGGTTCACTCGACAGCATTGATTTGGGATATGGAGAATCTGTTTCATCTGTAGTTTTCATAATTAACTCAGATAAACGAGTTCTGTCAACAGGTGTTAAATTCAATGCATACAACCATTTTTTTTTTTGATTGTTTATCACAGGTGCAAGTGCTACAAATCTTGTTGCAATTTCAATATTTCCTTCTTGTAGACTCTGATTCCTAAAAATTAAATAAATAAATAAAACTTTGTTAAATCATAAAAGTATATATCTTTAATATTAATAACATTTCTATTTACCTATATGGAGGTCTTTCATAATGAATGCCTTCCAATGCTGAGACATGATATCTTGGTTTTACTTGAGCAGCCAACCATGCAATTAATTTCGAACCCTGATATTTAAAATTTGGTTTATTAGGATCAAAATTTGTAACATCAGCAGGCCAAGGAGAACTCATCAAAATGTCAATTCCACGAAAACTAGGTTGACCTTTTAAACAAGCCTGCTTAATTGACATTATATCATTTTCACTTAAACACGCAGGTTTTACTTCTGAAGAATTACTTTCTGTACCACTGATGTAAGCTATTTTAAGTCCAGAACTAGCAGTGTACAATCCACGTTTTCCAAGATAAGTAAGATTTTGACAGATTTCGCAACCATCAATGTCTGGATAATTATTTAAATCACTGTCCCTGTTTGCGCCAATAATGTAAGTTGGAACTGATATACTTTTCATGCCATTCTTATAGTCTTCAAGCTCTATATTGTTTTCACCAAAAAAATTTCCCACGCATAGCAAAAAATCGAAAGGTCCACTTTTCTTATTGATAGCATCAACTTTGTTAAATAAAAATTTAAAATGACCCTCTACATCTCCACACATTAATACCTTTTGTTTTTCAGTCATGTTTAATAACATAACCTTAATTTCATTAAGCAAATATGATATGTACCATCAATGACCGAAAAATTGTGTTAAAGATTAAATAAATCTCACAATTAAGATAACTTTGTATTATTATTATTTTATTACTTTCAATTGTGTAAAACTAGCACTTTTCATCATTAACATCTCATTGCGTTTTAACTAGTGAAAATTGGAGGGAACTACGAGAAAGGAGTCGAAGACCATCATTAATTAGTGTATTATGAAATTATAAATTAGATTTAATATAATTTCACATGATATAGAATCTTACTTGAATTCTATATTTTACATTATATGTAAAAATATTCATCAAATCAATTCAGTATAATGTAAATTAGTCAAGTTCATCGTATTGGCTCTTTATAATAGCGGGGCATGTAGTAACAACTAATAACAGAATAAAAGAATTAAATAAAAATTCATATTTATAATTAGCGAAGCTTCCATGTTTTTTATCTAAATTTTGAATGTAATTTGCAAGAAATATGATTTAAACGAATATTTCGATTTATTAACTAGCATTTTGAAGATTAATATAGAAAGAAAGCTAAGAGTTTAATTCGAAAGATGTAGCTGCAAAAATTTACAAATTAATCTTTTTAACTAGTTTCTTTTAAAAATAAATGCATATATAATCAATCAGAGACGAAATAAGCATTATAATGTACGACAAGGACGAATATATGTTGCGTATTGCCACCTAAGTATTTCCCAAATTCAACTAGAACTAAAAGTATAAGAAATTTCCGATAGATGGCAGTATCCGTCTTGTTCGTAGACAAGGAACACAATAGTATGTGACAAGGACATGGTTTTTAGTTTTATAGTTTCACCGTTACGCGGCGCTAGCATTTCAATGTTCATCCATCGATCAAAACTTCATTTGTAAAAAATATTAATTAAGAAGATTAATTTATGAACTTTTTCAATTATATCTTTGTTTTTAGATTTTAAGCTTTCTTCTCATATTCTATTTGACCTGTAAACTTTATGAATAAGGATTTGAAATTTCTACTGAACAGATCGAAACACGCTGTTGGTTAGACAAGGATAGATTCATATTGTGTCGAAATATTATACCCTCAGCTTACTTCTTATATTCCATTTAATCTACAAAATATAGAAACAAAAATGTATAGATTCTACACAATAAATCGAAGGATCGATTGTAATACAATTAGCTATATAATTACATATTTAATTTTTCATAAATTATGTTACAAATTTGAATGAAAGTTAAACGTAGACATAGTCAGCTTTGGAATGCATAATCAGAAATGTTTTATTCAGGGAATAAAAAAGTAAATTTACAACTTCTTTCGATCATACTTTGAACTTTTTTATCTTGTGAATAAAAATTGTACTCGTTTAATCAAGAGTTGTTTATGCAATCTTGCACTGAAGTCAGAAAATATTAAAAATATAACATATCTTGAAATAAAGTCACTGTTTCAATCAGTTCCATTATAATGCGGATAATGAAAACGAAATACTTCCTTATGTATTGCAATATCTATAGAATTGTATTCTCCGTGTTTTGTATTCATAATGTAAAATTTTCTGGAAAATTTTAATGTTAAATCAAACCAGCATTACGCCGAATTGATAATGTCACATGTGATTGATAAAATGGTAAGAGAGTCATACGACACCTAAAACATAAGTCATGGAAGAGTATTAGGTAATGTCAGATTCGTTTCCCTCGGGATTTTTAAACGATAGTTATTCATATAGAAGTTCTTTAGATAGAGTCGAGAATAAGTTAAGCAAGGAAAAGTTTCCAACTTTTAGTTACTACCTACTTTGTTGCGAAGTTTCGTGTGGTAGCATAATTTGGGCGTGAGAACCTGTCACGAATAGGCCACCTTGTATCTTTAAATGGCGAACATCTGGAAACGATTTTCATGCCGTAAAATTCTAAATAGTACCTACCTGCTGACCGTCTACGATCTTACGTATATCAGTATGACCGTAACAAGGATTTCCAAGCATCGTGCATTTTACCTGACTTAATTTGCTTCGATTATTATTCATGACATAAGAAGGGTTGAACAGTAATTAATCTCATACAACGTACGGTCATCGTGACAAATAATTAATCTTGAAGTTGTCTGCAGAAAAATTTTGCACAAACACCTCTTGGTGGCCTCTGCTATTCGTTTAAAGAAAAAAAAAAAAAGAAAAAAATGTTTGACCTCGAACAATAGAGGGAGACCGGAAGAATTTATGTGGAGAACAGCGGAAACTTACCCTTGGGCTCGCTGGTAGTTAAAGAAGTGCAAATAAATGCACACCTTTACACAAAATCCGCGAACACAGTTGCACTTATACTATAAGTAAGGCAAGGCATTTGTATAACGTAGCCAGTTGCTGCTGCTGCGCGCAGGAGTAATAAAAAAAAAAAAAAAAAAAAGAAACACAAGAGGAAAGGGCCGTTGACAAAGAGAGGCGGCAACGGAAGCAACGCCGGAGACATATTATACGCGTGAAGCAGAACAAGAAGGAGAGAATGGCACATACGCGCGTACGCTTGTGTCGGTATAAAATTATGGTGGGGATAGTTACATAGAGTTGGGACTAGGCGTGGTCCCGACTGACCAATCGGAGCAGTAGGCGTTATCTAGACGTATAACAATGCTCCGTGTAATACATAGTTCAGTGGTTCTCAACTATCCTCGAGTCAATTTTCTCGATCGTGAAGGGATTCGCATCATCTGTGGAAACCATCTGTTTTCATCGTAAACGTACAGTCGATGAAATAAAATTTGGACTCGCAATTCCTTCCAATTAATATCAATTATTTCAAGGGTGAAACCTATGCGAACAGTATATCTTATAATTTTCGTATCATCCCGCTGAAAGCCTTTATCAGTGGACGGTGGGATGAAACTGGCGCTTAAGTACCGCCTACGTTAGAAATCATTGACACAGGCGCAACTCGTGAGGTTATGCGGCTGCGTTGGTACGACGAAAGCTTTTCCAGAATCCGGAACGATAGAA